GGCCGGCCGGGGAAAGGGGGGGCGCTGGCTGCAGCCACGGCCCAGCGAGGCCTCCATCCTGTCCCCGGAGGAGTCCGACTTCACCACCCCAGGAGACTGCGCGAGCTTCGCGGCGCACCACGCCGTGTCCTACATCAACGTGGGCGTCTTCCATGCGTTTGACGAGGCGGGCGTGGAGGTGTGCTGCGGCGGGCACCCGTCGGTGGAGCTGCCAGGGGAAGCGCCCTCGGACCCAGACCTCAATGCCTCCTACCCCTATTGCTGTCGGCCCCCGTGTGAGATGGCGCGCCCGTGGGAGCCTAGCCGGGCCTGCTGAGTCCAGGCCCGAGCGGCCTGGGACACCTGAAAGGGCAGCAGTCGGGCTTTGCTTGGCGTTGTGCCTGTGCGTGGCTTGGCACTTTTCTGGCCCAGCCCTGTGAGATCTGCCAGACCCTAGGACACTCCGGTGTTCTCCTTTCTGTGTGAGGAGGTGGCTCCCTCTGTGTCATTCGTATCCGGACTCCATTTAAAGTTTACAATAAATGTTTGGGGTGGCCTTGCGGATCACACACCTCTTAGACAAGTCCGTACCCCAGGACTGCGCTCAGAGGTCCTGGGTCCAATGGGCAAGAACAGAACTCTTATGGAAGGTGAATTTCGTGTGGAGGACCTCGGCTGAGAGTACAAAGCAGTTGGAACTGTAGGAACAGAAGTGAAGAACAACCAACAGCAACACTTTGTACCCGGATGTGCCTGCTTCTGTCCACACTTTCTTACTGTAAAGCTCTCCATAAACAGTGAAAATGTTTGGTAAATTTATTGCAATTTGACATTGGTGAGTTCCTTTATTAAATTGATTGCTATGTTACTGGAGAATTTCATCAGCTTGGAATTAGAGGATGTCTACACTCAGATCAGCCTGGGGGAGAGTGTCTGAATTGGAACAGACAAATGCTGAGTTAGAACAGCTGTGTTCTGCTAGCTGGTTGACTAGGTCCAGCCTGTCTCTGAGCAAACTGCTGTGCGTGCGTGGAGACACTGATGCCAGACCCCTGCATTTCTGTTTTTGGAAACTGGCTGTGTGGTTTCTACTGCAAAGCAGTAGGTTTTATTTTTGGTTAACACATATGAACAGTTTAATCCTATTTTGAAAACTCAAAGTCCTAGTTTTTCTGCAAAGATAAAGTTCCTGTTAACTCAATAATCTGGTAATTTTGATTATATAGCATTTCATTTAAAGTACACCACTTTAATAGCCTTAATGAATGTGAAGGACATACCTTTAAGTGAGTTTAATATACGTGTAACCATTTGCACACAAATGAAATGAGTTCTCTATGATCAGAGTGTCTTCATACTTCTGGTGGGTTGGTTGAAAGTCAAGCAGGCTCTAAGTCTTGGAAATAAGGTGATCTGACCTTCATGTGCCTGGACAAGTGAGACCAGGCAGGTAGTGACTCACAGGCCAACTGGGAGCAGAGCCCTGGCCCAAAAGGTGTGCCTCTTTCATGTGGAGGAGGGGAGAAGCAAATACCCATACCAATCACCAGAGGCCAGAAAAGGCATAGAATCCTGGGTCGTGTCTCAATGTACAAAAGACTGCTTCTAACTGTGAAGAAGCCTCCTGTTTAAGGAGGCGGCGCAGTTCCCAGTTGCAGGTGTGTGATGGCACCTTTCCTCAACTCCCAAATGCCCTGCCCAGAGCTCTCCTGTATCTTTGGTGACTACGTACCCTAGATGGAACCTAGCTAGCTTTCCTCTACAGCAAGGGCACTAGAGGCTGAGGGAACCCCAATCACATTTCCATGAAGAACAGCAAGGTCCACTGCCAGCTATGGACCACGCTATGGTGGTAATAACTGGTTTTACCTATGCATAGACATTTCCTTTGAAGCTTGAGGATCTGATCAAAGAGTCAGTCCTGACAACCTTTTGAAGCCTCCCAAGGAAAAGTCATCACTCATGGCTAGCTCCTTGGCTCTCACCTATATCAGACCTTTGATATCTTGGGGTAAGGTGGAAAAAAAAAAAGGTTAAGCCTGATTTACTGGTCCAGCTGTTGGTATTCAGTCCAGTCTTCCTGTGCCACATTAAGAGCCAACTGCCCATCAGCCTAAACAAAAGTTACAAATGGCAGCACAGACTGACTTAAGATGCTTTCTCCTATCTACTCAAATCCGAGCATGTGGCATTACCAGGTGTTTCCAACTGAGAGAAGAGATCTCACGGGTGGGTATTAGGCCACTCTTGTGGGTCCACTCAGCAGCTTTGTGGATGAGCACAAGCAAGCAGACTGGGCGGAGTTACTCTGTAGGCTGCATGGATGCCCCAAGTCAGTCCGTCCTTATTGGGCCTTTGTTTTTTTCCTAAGGTGTTTATTTAGTCTTGTACATTTCACATAGCACAAAATGTTAGATGCCTCATGAGTCTTTCAAACTGTCTATCAAGGTCAGTGGCCTCTTTACATTTCATGTTTTTCTTGGAATGGAAGTTTTGCAGGGAGGACTGACGTGGGCAAGACCAGAGGCCAGGGAAGGAAGAGGATGATGACATTGTGCATATTGTCTGACCAGAGAAGCAGGGGGAACCTGGGATGTGGAAGGTGGAGGCCTTTCCCCTAGACTTGGGTGAATTAGCCTCTTCCACAAGACCAATGGATTAAATGAATGCTTCAAGATTTGGTGTTCCTAACTCCCAAGTTCATTAATACTGCCGGCTCCACTTTTACAGAGGTGAGCATGACTGTGGGGTTGCAAAGTTTCACTTTTAAAGCTCACTGAGGAAAGAAATCCCACTATTGTTAAAGTTGGTTTCCTACAAACATCAGTCCGTTCTCGGGAGCCTGGCACAGAGGATCATGAGGCTGTTAGCACCCCACTCTGCACTCCAACTCACAGCTGTTTCCATTTGTGTCCACTCGTCTTTCCTGGAGCTTTAAGTAGTTTTCAGCTGATTCTTTGTGTCACTTGGAAAATAAGTCACTTCTTGGCCTTTCTTCCAAAACTGGACACAAACACATCTTAGTGTTTTTACATGCTAAATACTTACACTTCATAAGGCATTATTTGTTCAGAAGGAGAAGCTCACTGTCCTTAGGGCTGGGAGCTTAGCTTTAAGGGGCTAGGACATGGCATGGACTTGAGCAGATAAACTGCCAAGCAAGCCATGTTTGATTATAGAATCATTTCCATGCATTGCTTAGAAGGATGCTCTGCTCATGGTAACACAAAATAACACTACACATAATCTCTTGTGGTGTTTGAGGGCCAGGCCAAACAAGTGAAGTCTCCGTATCTGAGACACAAGTAGAATCCATTCTTGGCTTTGTAGCCTAGCTGTGGACCCCAATATTACATTGCCATCTTCCTGCTGCAGTATTATGTCATAGAATGAACACACAGGAGCCCCTGAGGCCATATCTAAGTACCATTAACCAGTGTCGAGGCATTTCAACAGGTTTACAGTGAGATGTTCTGGGATCTGGGCAAAGAAGGCCGTTAGGCTAAATCCTCAGGCTCTATGCATGTTACTTAGAGCCCACTACATACAACTATAGTGTTGACCACCAAGCACACCCTTGTCATCATTATCCCCGAGTATTTCTTCTCACAGAGATCTCAGAGAAAAGTAATAAATGGCAGAGACTTTAAGAAAGATCTGGCATGTAACTAAACACTAGTGGCTTATAGACCTGTTCCACCTTATCAGAGAGCATTGCTGTGGTCTTGTGTCAACAGCTGTGATTTCCAGGGCCCAGTGTCCCAGCCTACTTTACTGTTTAATCAATAGAAAAAAATCCCAAAGGGGAGAAAGAAATTAATTTAGGACAGGAGCAAGCAAACTTTATGTTCTCAAAATTGAAATCTGAGCAGCTCCTGGGATAAGACGAGAAGTGTGGTGATTCTGTTGCTAAACTCCCTTCCCAGGGGGGGATGTAAACCAATGTCTCCTCCTCCTAAGGTTCCAAGAACAAACTGAGGTATGAGTCCACTAGAGTTCACTCTGGGGAACCAATGGGTTTATTGAGTTTACTTATAAAGCATAAGGGAGGGATATGGGTACTCCGGACCAAAGGACACCATTGGAAAGTTTACTCAGCAGGGGTGGTGGCTTTTTCAGTCACATAGATGGAGCACACCCTGCCGATACACACTCTAGCCCCTCCTTGAGGCCCTGTAAAATGAAGGCAGAATTACATATGGCAGGTAGTATGGAGTGAATAGAGAGAGTCAATCAACAACCCAGCTGGGATGATATTTTGCAAGCAGGAATAGCCAAACTTCCAAAGATGGAAGTAGTTTGGCTAGGAGGATAGTCATGGACATAGTCCTGTGGCAGATTATGTTCAACCCAGTATTCTTAGTCTCTGTGTTCTATATTTTACACTTGTGGGTTTCTCTCAGAGTCCCTGATCTTGTGATATTTCACTTTATCAGCCATTGATCCTCAGTGGAATGTCATTGTCAGATCAATAAAATCTCTTTTAAAACACAGGGTACTCCACAAAATTCATACTTTTTTGGCCACTTTCCTGTTCGTGGCCAACTATGGTGAGGGAAGAAGCAAGACAAGGCCTTTTGCTTCTTTCTCCTCCTGTCCTCCAGGTTCCATGGAACCTCTGTGAGACCCCTGCTGGGGCCCCACCCAGAGTTTTTCCTTTGAAATGGTTTCTGAGTCACCCACTGACCTCTTTCTTCATCTCTTTTATTTTTTCTTTCTTCTTCTTCTTCTCTCTCTCTTTTTTTTTTTTGAGACAGGATCTCATTTTTTAGCTCTGGTAGACCTGGAACTCGATATATAAACCAGGCCATCTCTTGAGTTCACAGAGATCTTCCTGCCTCTGCCTCCCAAGTGCTGAATTAAAGGTGGGTGCCACCACACCTGGTGTTCACCTCCACTATTGGTGCAACATTTTCTTGAAACTTTGTCAACTGTGTTGTTTTACCCAGAAAAGAGTCCAGAAAGAAAGGAACACCTTTACTATGGTTTGCCCAGGGATGGAGAAGAACTGATGAGGGTTTCCGATGGGAATCCAGGGACTTAATACATGTGAAGACTTACAATGTTGTCCCAGGCAAATAAAAGGCCTATATGAGGGAAGTCCATGTTATCAGATACAGCTGAGCCCTAGTGGTGTTTCAAGAGGGCTGCTTTCATCTTTCTCTGTGAGGGCCATGTGCTAGGCAGGAGGGGAGAGGGAGAAGGAAGGGCCTCGAGAATGATGCAGTAATAACAGCAGCAATGATAAACAGCAGTGCACAGACCCCACTGCTCCGGGTGCTTCGTCCCACTTACACCCCTCGTTCTCTTGAGGCCCCGGCACTGAACACACATATAGATAAGAAGTCAGAGGAGCCTAAGGAGCCCATCACACTTGCCCCTCGAAGAAGCAGAAATGAGGTGCCTATCACCTGTCATCTATTACAGCAGGGCCACCACGATCCAGGGTTGCTTGGCTCCCTCTCCTAAGGCCAGTTCCTAGAGCCTGTGTCAAGCCATCTATATCTAGCCCCTTCTCCCCTGCCCCTTGTTCAACTCAGGGTACCTTTTCATGCTCTTCACCTGGGAAATATGAACATTTTCTCAAATTCAGCCTGCATGCCTCCTGAGGCGCTATGTTCTCATGTTCACCTGCATCCCATCCTATCATCATCACAGTAATTACTCCCTCATAGGTAGAAATGACTGAGCCCCTAGCCTGCTATTTGACTTGCCCTGAACCTGTGGAGTAGGCCTGGCCTCCTCTGCTCTATATGGACAGAACTGGCTATATATCTAGAATATTCTCAATAACTGGCAGATAGAAACCACATGGTAGGACCCACACAATAGCATGATTATCATAACATGTTGGTAGGATGGTAGGATGTAGTTGGCATTTTCTTTGGGCCACCAACCAGCTCCCAAATAAAGACACAGAGGTGTATTATTATGAATGTTTGTCCTTAGCTTAGGCTTGTCCTACTAGCTCTTTTAATTTAATTTAACCTGTTTCTATTCATCTATGTTTTGCCTTGGGGCTTTTTACTTTCTATTCTGTATGTCCTACTTTCCTGCTTCCTCTGTGTCTGTCTGACTGGCTCCTGGTATCTCCCTGGTGTCTCTTCTCTTTCTCCTCTGAGCCTAAATTCCTCCCCTATTTACTCTCCCTGCCCACAAGTTCCTCCTATACCACCTCCCTTGCTATTGGCCATTCAGCTTTTTATTAGACCAATCAAGGGCCTTAAGCAGCAAAAGTAAAACAGCAACACATCTTTCCATGATTAAACAAATGCAACACACCTTTACACAGTTAAATGTTCTGCAACATGTTAAACGAATGCAACACAGCTTTATATAGT